TGAATTAATCGATCTGAATTTGGTTAAATTTCATTAAAACTAAATTAAACGAATCTGATTCCGATTCCCATTTCGAATATATTTCTCCAAATCTTGTAAAGGGTTGCTAAGACCAATACATTTGACCGTTGGATACATCGTTTCGTAAATGTCTGTATTAAATCAACAGGTTTTAATTACAAAAGAAAAAAAAAGAAGGAAATCCTCAGATCCCGCTCCTATATTAATATCTCCACCACCCACACAAAATTTGACCGTTAGGAGAATATTTATCTTTTGCAAAAGCTCTCTTTGTTAAACGACGAGAAGATTCTCTCGCAATCTTCTCCTTCGTTTGTCTCATTTTTCTTCTCCATCTCCGAACTCAATCAACTTCCATAGTGATTTTCAAAACTCCAGAAAAACAAAAAAAAATGGAATCACCACAGAAGTTGAAAACCGGCCTGAATCTACCCGCAGGGATGAACCAGACTTCGTTGCGTCTAGAGACGTTTTCGAGCTCGTTTCGCGGGATCTCGAGTCTATCCTCTCCTTCTAAATCCACTTGCAGCGATAGATTTATACCGTGCAGATCTTCATCGAGACTCCACGCTTTCGATTTGCAAGACAAGGAATCGACGACGACGCCTGTGAAAGAGGGAGGGAACGAAGCTTATTCTAGACTTTTGAAATCTGAGCTTTTCGGATCTGATTTCGTTTCTTCTTCTTGTTTGTCTCCTGCAGGTAATCAAGGATCTGCTTCTTCTCCGATGAGTCCATGTACCAACATGTTGAGATTCAAGACCGATCGTTCTAATTCAAGTCCTAATTCGCCCTTTTCGCCTTCTATTCTCGGTAACGACAATGGCCTCTCTAGCGACTCCTCTCCGCCTCCTAAACCACCCCGCAAGGTTCCTAAAACGCCTCATAAGGTAAATACCATTTGCATCCAAATCTGTTTTTTGTTGTTGGTGATTTGGTCAGAGATTTGAAAGATTGTTTGTTTGGTTTGATTTGGTTTCAGGTCTTGGATGCTCCTTCACTACAAGATGACTTCTACTTGAACGTTGTGGATTGGAGCTCGCAGAATGTTCTTGCGGTTGGACTTGGTACTTGTGTCTATCTTTGGACTGCTTCCAACAGCAAAGTGAGTGTTCTGATTATAATTGACTAGTTTTAAGATTGGCATAATGCTATTGGGTGTGCTGGATTCATTGAATTTATGGATCAGGTGACGAAGTTATGCGACCTGGGCCCTAAC